GGGGTGCTGGGAGTGAGCCCCGGCGAGTCAAACACGGGGTGCTGGGAGTGAGCCCGGGCGAGCCAAACACGGTGTGCTGGGAGTGAGCCCCGGCGAGTCAAACACGGGGTGCTGGGAGTGAGCCTGGGCGAGTTTGAAGTGGGGCCCACGAAACAACACTTCCTCACTTACCCCACAGATCACCCAAGCCTTCCTCCAAGGTTACACCTGGGAAAGCGAGAGTCGTTACCCCCTGGGCGGCTGGTGAATGCAAGACCAGGCCTGGAAACGGGATGAGTCTGATTCTTCCTCCCCCAAAGGATCCCCCCAACACGCTCACGCATGCACACGCACACACACAGACACGCGTGCGCGCTGAAGAGCCCCCTTCCGAGAGAGGAGGCAGGCGGTGGGGAAGACTGACCAGTGTTCGGGGGCACTGGCTAAGGGTAGACCAGTAAATCCTCTCCGAAGGCATTTTGGGGTTCCGGGGCAGCTTTGAAAACACGCCGCGCTTCTTATTGTGGTGCGAGTTCAAGTCTTCCACGAAGCTCTTGAAATTTGCCAGCTCCCTGGGCTTTTTTTTCTGAAAAGCAGGCAGAGAGAAAGAGATCTGTCCAGCCATGAAGGCCAGGAGCCCACGTGCTTGACCCCACAGCAACCAGTGAACAGCGAGAAGGGGCTCCAGAACACCCCACCTGGGCTGGGCTGGCATCCAGTCTACCGATGGACCTCCGGGGGGCAGTGCAGGACCAGCTGCCTTCACGGCAGGGCCTCCATAACCCCACCTCCCCCAGGGAGCAGCACAATGACCTCCCAAGGGGGGGGGGTTCAAAGCAGCTCCCCAGGCCTGTCTCCCAAGGCACGCCTCCAAGGATTCAGGCCACCAACCTCTAGGTTAGTCACCCTGGTTGTTAGCTTTTATGTCGGCTTGACCTTGGAGGAGAGACTAAGGGCAGAGTCCAGCCCATCAGCCTGGTCTCACCTGATAATGCCTCTTGGGGAGAGACACAAGGGACCCCTCCTCTCTGCGGCCTTCCACCTTCATCCTGGCCGGAACTCTGTGTCTGCCTGCAGGAGTGGCCCCCTGTGGGCTGCCAACCCTGGGGGCCACCCTGGGAGCCATTGTCACCCTGCTGTGTTCCCTCCAACCTTGGATCCACGTGACTCTGCACCCACCGGCCTGTGATCTTCCCGCTCCCGGCTCACCTTCCCACCTCATTGGCCTGCAGCTGTGTGAGTCTCAGGAGGGTCTCAGACTTAAGGACTTGAGGGGGAATGTGCGGGGCACCTTCTTGATACACGATTCCTTCTTGATATAAAGCTCTTTCTTCTACATAGATGAATATCTCTAGACAACCCGCACAGTAGGCCTACCCTTAACCGTCGTGCCTCCTCAGGACTCCGAGAGCATGTCCAGTAGAGACGAAGGGAAGCCCTAACTTTGTCTTAGACAAGTAATTGGGCCTAATTACAGTGCGCGTGAAGAAGGCAGAGCACAGGTAGAACTCACATAGCCGTGCCACTCACCCGACCAGCATGGCTGGGCTCAGGATGCCCGGGCAGAGCAGCTCTGTCGAAGTCCCCACAGGCCTCGAGGCTGGTCCCCGGCCAGCCCTGCCACCGTGGGTGGGTGGGGTCTGCATAGTGCATGCTCATGAGAGGAGAGGTGTCTACTGGGAAGTCAGACAGACTTACCAGCCAACCACCCCCTGGCCTAGCGTCCATTCAGACCTACAGCCACCCTGTAGGGCAGAGAATTGCTCCCCGGGGTTTCTGAGGCTGAAAGTCAAATGAAACCAGACAGTCAGCAGCTAGTGGGTTTGAACGACTGATCTTTTGGCTAATCGTCCAACGCTTAACCTCTGCACTCCCAGGGTTCCCTTCAGACAGACTTGCCAGGGTTCAAATCCCAACTCTGCCTATGACCAACGATGTGGCCTGCCTCAGTTTCCCCACAATGGGGAGAATCGGTAAATTCCAAATCTTCCCAGCAGGGTCATTCCGTTGGGGAAGGGCCCCTCTCATCCCCCTGGCCCCAGTACCCACCTGCACAGAGTAATGTCCATAAGGTGGCGGCTTGGCCCGGTCGCCGGAGAAGGTGTCATAAGGGCCGCGGGCACCGACTTTGTGTGCCAGGTACGTCTCAATGCCACTTTTGAGGAAGTACGTCCCTGGTGCCAGACCACTTCCCTAGGGCACAGCAAGACAACCGCACCTGCAGGGAGAGCTGCTGCGGGGAGCTCAGGACCCTCTTGGGGTCCTGGTTTCCCCGTCGGCCTTGGGAAGATGGGCAAGGCTTTTCAGGGGCGGGGTACCTGATTCCCCAGGGGGCGTGGCTTGTTGGACATCCTGCACATGAGACTCTCGGAATGGCCTCGGTTCCACTGGCTCTCCTCCAGCTTCTTGTACGGGTTGCCCCTCTCTCCATAATTCCCAGGGCCTGGGTAGTAGTTCTGGAGAGGGAGGGGGTCAGAAAGGCCATTAGTCCCATCCCTGGAACCAAGGGCAAGTGAGGGAGAGACGCCTGGACTCCCGGCCTGGGAGGGGAACAAGCAGGTGTCTGCACGCTGTCTCCCAGTGCACAGCACTGTGGGCTGTGAGCCTCCAGTGTGGCCCAAGCCTTGGTTTCGCAGCTCGGCCTCCTCACCAGGGCCAGGGGCGGGGCCTGCAAAGCTCCTACAGCTCCCTTCTTCCATGCCACCACCCTTCAGCCACAGTGGGCTCCTCCCTACCCTCAAACCCAGGCCATTCTGTCCAGCCTCCTTGCCTTCTTGCACTCCTGTCTGCAGGGCCTTCCCGCTCTCATGGGCCTTAGGGATGTCACAAACCCTGCAGGGTCAGCTCAAAGAAGGCGTCGTTCCTGACAGCCCCGCCAACCTCCGGCGACCGCCTGCCTCTTCCCGGGCCATGCCAGCCCTCGGGGCCCCACATCCAGGTCCTGCTCTCCCACAAGTGGCTCTCTCCCTACGCTGTGGACCGTGCTGGGAACCAGGAAGATGTGGAGTCCTGGGTTCCAGCCCTGACTGTGCACGTCAGGACTCTTTCTGGGTCTATGGTCTGCATTCCAACGTGGGCATTGTAAACTTCCCTGCGGGGTCACGAGGGTCAAGTTAAACGCTGTTGTTCGTTGTCATGGAGTCGGTTCTGACGCCTAGTGACTGTGTTAGTCTGGGTGGACTAGAGAAACAAATCCACAGACACGCGTATGTGTCTGAGAAAGAGCTGCATATACAAGAGCAGTTGAATATTGAGAAAACATCCCAGCCCAGTCCAGATCAGTCCATAAGTCCAACGTTAGCCCATATGTCCATGACCAGTCTATAAATTCTTCTTCAGACTCACGCAGTACATGCAATGATGCCCAATGCAGGAAGAAAGATCACAGGCCAGTGGGTAGAAAATCTTGTGGGTCTAGTGGTGGTGGGAGCATCTCAGTGCTGGCAGGAGTCTCCACATGGCTCCTCTAGCTTCAGGGCTCTAGCGTAGCTCCATGTGTCTTGTCAGCAGGAAGATGAAGCAGAGAGTCTCTGTGTATCTGTCCTCCAGTGAGCTATTTATCTCCGTGATGCCTCCAAATGAGCTCACCAAGCTGTGACCTGATTGACAGGCTAGACTCCACCCCGACAAGTGAACACCAGATTATGTAACTGCCACAGTGACCCTGTGCACAACAGGATGAAACACACCCCGGTCCTGCACCATCCTCACAATCATGCCCATGCCCTTGTTGCAGCCACAGTGTCCAGCCAGCTCCTTGAGGGCCCTCCTCTTCTTTGCTGCCCCTCCCCTTTACCAAGCATGATGTCCTTCTCCAGGGACGGGTCTCTCCTGACAACATGTCCAAAGTGTGTAAGACGAAGTCTTGCCATCCTTGCCTCTAAGGAGCACTCTGGCTGTACTTCTTCCAAGACAGACCTGTTTGACCTTTTAGCAGTCCAAGAGACTTTCAATATTCTTCTCCAGCACCACGATGCAAACTTATCGATTCTTCTTTGTTCAGTGTCCACCTTTCACACGCACAGGAGGCAATGGAGAAAACCGTGGCTTGGGTCAGGTACACCTTAGTCCTCAAAGGAACACCCTTACTTTTTAACATTCAAAAGAGGTCTTGTGAGTTAGTTAATTGTGCCAACCTGGCCGATAACCACATGTGGGGCTAATTGAAAGGCGGAGGGATAAATGGGTGGTGAGCCTCGCCTTTCTGGTTCCCAGGTCTCTTGCTTTGTGATAGCGCACCAGGGTGCAGCTGCCTTAGCAGTTCCCTGCTTCAGCTTGCAAGATTGACTTCCTACAAGACATCCCCAAGGAAAAGCCACGTGGGCATATCCAGATGCAGCCCTGGGTGCTGGAGCAGCCGTGTGGAGACCCCTGCTAGTGCTGAGATGCTTATTCGTTCACTGACTCAGCTTTCCTCCTGCAGTTGGCATCATTGCCTCTGTTTTATGAGGTGGAGGACTTTGTGGACTGGTGTTGGGTAAATGGGTTAATGTTGGACTTGTGGGCTTGGGCAGCATTGGGTTGGGATGTTTTCGTGATGCACACTTTCTTTACGTAAAACTTTACATGAGTCGCTGTGGATTTGTTTCTCTAAAGTACCCAGACTAATACATCTTGTAACTATCAAATCTTCCTAGCATCTAACAGTGAGGCTTGTCGTGAAGTTAAATAATCTATGCAAGTTCCCCTGCGCAGTGCCTGGCAAAGGCAGCAACAAAGCAACAAGCCCTACTGCCAACGAGTCAATGCAGACTCGCGGACTCCTTGGGACAGACAGGGACAACCCCCTGGGATCCCAAGGCTGTCAATCTTCACAGAATCAAACTGCCCCTTCTTGTTCCCTCAGCAGCTGGAGGGTCCAGCCGGGTGGCCTTTTGGTTAACAGCCAAGTGCATTAACCAGTGTGCACCAGGGGTCATATGGGGTGGCTGGCTGACTGGGGAGTGGGCCGGGAGGAGAACTGTGGCTAGAATCACACACACACACACACACACACACACACCCCGGGGCCTCGACTGCTAGGGTCAGAAGTGTGTTCTACGTGGCGAAAGAAGAGCCACCAGGCAATGTAGTTGAGTGAGGAGAGACCCCAGCTGTGGCTGCCCTGCACCTCGTAGCCACACGAGGGCGCTGCCGCTCCGCTGATGGCTCAGCCTGAGCACAGGGTCCAAGCTGGGGAAGGAAGCAGCTTAGACGGGGCCTGGAACTGGTTAAGATTGGAAGCTCTGCAGGGAGGGGTCCCCTCTGGGAGAAAAGGCTCTCCCAGGACGGGGGTGGGGTGGGGAGGTGTCCTAAGAGCAGTTTGAGAAGTTGGTTCCTCACGCTGTGTACAGCTACCCCAAAGCCAGGAAGTCGGCACGGAGGGGCCAAGTTGGTCTAGCTCCTGGCAACCCCTGTGCTCCACCGGCTTTTCAGTGGCGTGCCAGGCCTTTCTGCACAGGCATCCCGAGGGAAGGGGACCTCCACCCCTCTGGTTGCACAGCTCTGACAAAGACATTAACCATTTGGGTCACCCAGGCGCCCCCACTTAAGAGGTGGGGAGACCGATTCACAGAGCTGTAAACTGAGAGTCCAAAATCCCACCTCTGGAAAGGGGGGCAGCCCGCACTAGGCCACCACACCAAAGGCCTGCATCTTCCTGGGTTCTCCATTGTGCTGCTAACTGAAAAGTCGGCAGTTCAACCCCACCAGCCGCTCCACAGGCTAAAGATGGGGTTGCCTGGTCCTGTCCAGGTGAACCAGAACCCAACCCAAACCCACTGCCATCAAATGGATTCAGACTCACAGCAGCCCTGTGGGACAGGGTAGAACTGCCCCTGGGGTTAACACTTCATGGGAACAGAAAGCCTCACACAGTCTCAGAAATCCTAAGAGACCATCGTACTGTGTCCTGGGCATTAGCATCGATTCCAGTACAGTAGGATGGCCGGCACTGGTGTTAGAGAGCAATGAGGAGTGCCAGGCAGGGCCCTCAGCCTGCAGGGGTGGAATGAGGCTGATACCAAGGGGGCAGGAGCAGCTGCTTTAGATTCAGGGAGCTCAAGGTCTGCAACCCAATGCTGGGGGCTTTGACCAAATACTCTCGTTTCTTCCATAAAACCTTCAGGTTTGGTAGCACAGTGGGGCTCATGGAAAAGGCTGCTGTGTTGGCTAGAATGTTAAGCTCAAAGCTGTGGGGATGCAGGAAAGAGTGGTCAATTCTGGAGGGAGTGTGAGAATGGAGGGATCATGATTCATACGTTTGTTTTTTTTATTGGGCCTTGGAAAGTGAGAAGGAGCCTAGGGATGGGTGTGGGGAGGGTGGCCCGGTGGGTAGAGCCGAGCTGGGCCAGACAGACAAGTGTGATGGCAGGAACTAAAGACTGGCTGAGGAGATTAGACCCATTCTGAGCCATGTGCACCCAGACCTACCTGGCTGGGCAAGAGTGGTGGGCAGGGGGCATGGCTTAGAAACCAAAGGGTTGGCATTGCCTCTGCCAGAGGCTATTGGGATTCAGGTCACTGACGGGTGGAGAAGCCAGAGCTCTCTGGGGAAGGACTGCTGGGGCCTGAGGCACCAGAGATGTTGGGGTGGCCCCTGAGTATGTCCCCTGGAAATGTCCCGGGGGGCATTTCCTGACCTACAGTGGTGCATTAGCTTCCCAGCCCAGGTCTCAGGACAAGATGACAATAGAGAAAAGCAGGCCTTAGACTGTGAGAACTCACCCCCCACCCCAGGGCTGCCTTCTGCACCCTCAGTGTTTCCTTGATCTGTTTAGCCCTGAGCCCAGGACAGGGGCCCAGATGAGGTCACTGCACGAGTAGGTGTGGGGACAGGAGGAGAGGCAGCCAGGAGAGAGAAACAAGCCCTAGCAGTGTTCAGGCCTGCCCTTCACCACCAACTGTTCAATCCATGCAGTCAACAAACACTCCCAGATGCCCCAGGGCTGGGATGGTGAGCACATAAGAAGGCAACAGACAGCTTCGACTTGTCCTCACTGCCTCTGCCTTAAGATGATGGCCTGAGCCCTGACATTCAATCCTGGCCTCTACACACTGCGAAAGAACAAAATCCAAAAGCCAATTCTTGGGTTCAGATCCTGCTTTTGCCATGCACTAGCTCTGTGACCACGAGTGAGCGCTGACTTAACCTTGTTCTTCGCCAATGCCTTCAGTGCAGCTTGGACTTCTTCCTTCAATACCGTCAGTGCTTGGTCAGATGATAACCTCTTGAAATGACTGGATGTCAACCAATTCTTTTTGGTACAGTGACTCTGTGTATTCTTTCCATCTTCTATTGATGGTCAGGATTTTGCCCATAGGATCCTTCAATATTGAAACTCAAGACTTGATTTTTTTTTTCCTTCTTCAGTTCTTTCAGCTTGAGAAATGCAGTGTGCTTCCATTCTGTAGTTAGGGGGCCAGGCCAGGGGTCATGCTCAGGAGCTAATGTGCCGTGTGGGAGGGGTACTATGTACACTCCCACAGGAAGGACTCCTGGGAAGGGGAGATGTTACCCAGCAGGAGGTCAGGACGGCTTCCTGGAGGAAGCTCCAGAAAGCATGATGCATTTGAGGAGTGGGGGGACGACAGAGTGCAGGGTACAGAGTGCTTGAGGAAAGAGGAGGCAGGGTGAAGGCAAGAGAGGAGGAGGGCACCCTTGGGTGTGGGTATGGCTCCTGCTATCGCTATAGTGACCTTGTGAGTTTGACCTCAGCATCCTCCCCACAAGGGGCACTGATTCCCACCACAGTGCTTCCCCTGCAGCCCTCCTACCGCCATCCAGCCTACTGACCTGCACCCCTACAACCAGGCTTTTCTGAAACTGTAAACCGAGTCCTTCACCTGTCAAGCCCCACCCCCTTAACCCTTGCTTTAGTGACAAGGTCCTCATGACTCCTCTCAACCACTCCCTCCTCTCCAGCCACACTGCCTCCTGTCTATTAGTCTAACCCGTGCTCAGCCTGCTGCCTGGAATTCTCCCCCAGCAGTCCACAGTACAAGCCTCCAGAGCCCTGTGCTACACGTCTTCGTTCAAATGCCACCTCCCCCAGGAAGCCTTCCCAGACCACTCTCTATGAATTGCTGTCATCTCCCTACCCACTCCTCTCCTCTCCTCACAGCCCTCATTACTGTGCCTTTGATTCTGAACACTCTTGCCTGGACCACAAGGACGCCTGCTGGCTCCAGAGAGGCAGCGACCTTATCCTCACCCTGTTGGACCCCAAGGCCTAGAGCCGTGCGGACACTTTGCCGGTGCTCAGTCATTATTTTCCAGATGAATGACAGGATGGGTGGAAGGATAGATGGACTGATGGATAGATAGAGGGGCGAATTTGCTGAGCAGGTAATGTGTGTTGAGCTCTGGGTGAGGGGCCCGGAGATCAATCAGAGCTGCCCCTGCCTGCAGGGAACTGCTCCAGTGTGGGGAGGTCGACAGTTGCAGCGGTAGCTGGCAGCCAATGGGTTCCAGGTGGAAGTGAGGGCCCGGAAGACAGCCTGGGCAGGTCTGGAGAGGAGAGCAAGCCAAGAAAAGGCACCACCCGGGTGAAATGCCCCGCAGAGTGACGGCTGGTGGGTACAACACCTACCCCAATGAAGCCTTGGAAGCGGGCCTCCCCGGAGCTGAGCAACCCCCGGTTACTGCTGGGCTTCTGCTGCAGCTGTTCCAAGAAGTCTTTGAAGTTGTAGGAGCCGGGCCCCAGTTTTTTCTCCTGTCCCCAAGAGAAGAGAGCCGACCATGGCATGTTGGGAAGGTCTGCACAGGGAGGACCCGGGAGGAGGATGGTATTCCCTCAAGGGTGAGCCCCATCTGGACTGGAGGCCCCTGAAGGCCACACTGGAAACAACTCCAACCAGACAGGAACCTGACCTCTGGAGGGGGAGGGGAGCGGCCCCGGGGCCTTACCTGTAGCTGCTTCTCCCTCATGATGGCCTGGTACTGGAAGTGGGGAAGCTGGGTCAGCCGGGTGGCTTCCTGAGCCTTGGCCCAGCCTGTGCCCACCTCCCTGTTCAGCTTCTTCTTGCTGAAGCAGGTCTCCTTGGAACCATAGGTCCCAGGTCCTATGTGGGACTGAGTCAATGCACTGTGAGGGCCGCACAGCCACACCCACACGCACCTAGTCCACCCACACAGCAAGTCGTCCCTAGCTGCCTCCCCATCCGAAGGTACAGGAACAGTGTCCCCTGCCATCCCTGACCCCAGGCCTGGCACCAAGGGGTTTAGTGACAACTGTCTTTCATAGTAGCAACAGCTATGCACTGCTAGGCCCTTTCTTAGTTATATCCCTGCAGCTGCCTTAGGACATCTCCCTTGCTCATTACACCTCAGGGCACTAGGGAAACTTGTCCAAGAGCCCAGCTGGTGGGTGGAAGAGCTAGGAGCAGAGTCTGGGTTTAACGGCCACCTCGTGTGTAGAGAGCCAGTGGGCAGCCAATCAATCACCAGGTCTTTCTTCCAAGGCAGTGCTCTGGTCCTGCATTTATTAAACAGACTCTGACTAAGGTTGCCCACCAGGGTGGGGAGACACACGGGGGACCAGGGTCCAGGCCCCACATGCAGATTCACCTTGTCCACAGAATAAAGCCTGGAGTGTGCAGCCTGCGTGAAGGTCTTAGACTTCTTCTCGTTGGGGTTCACAACACAGGCACCGAACCTACGCAGGGAAGAAGGACCCATGAGCGTCCACTGCTGCCCCCCAGCGCCCACCGCTGACCCTGGCATGGGCAGTTCTGGAGAGGGGAGAGTTAATTGCTCAGGGGGAGGGGGACTTTGCATCAGAGCCCATAAAAGATGATGGAGTTTTCATTGTGAACATTTCCCAGGGTGTCCCTCCGTCAAGGCCTTAGTCCCTGCTGATTCCCCTAATTAGATACTCCTACCTGGACCCGCCCCCCACCCCACCCCCAAAGTCTTGGCTCAAAAGTCACCTCCTCAGGACAATCCCTTCCCACTCCAGCACTCGCCAGCCCTGGCTCCCAAGGGCACTTGTCACGAATAGGCACTCCCTTTGTTCCTGGGCTGCGGGGTCCTGCCCTGACTCGCTTCCCCACAGGAGCGCAGACGCCCCAAGGGCAGAGTTCTGCTGTTCAGTCACTGTTGACCCGAGACCCTAGAACTGTCGGACACACAGTAGGCTTGCCTCTCCCCCCTCTTCTCTCTCCTTGTGGGCACAGGACCTCTGGACCTCTCCCGGAGCAGCCCACAGTATGTGCTCTGGCAATGGCTTGACACGGAGAACTCCGAAAGAAACCCACTTCTCCGAGTGTCGCGCCCCGCCCCCACTCCCCGCCCCCACCCCAGGCTCCAGCCCCAAGTGGGATAGCTGAGCTGGGGCGGAGCTTTCGCCAGAGGTGAGGGAGGACCCAGAGGTAGACAGCTCTTGGGACCCAGCTCCGTCGCCTAGTCCCCAGCCCCCAGCCCAGCCCCACCTGGCGCTCTGTACCCCAAAGGGCGCTCCGCTAAACCACTTGGTGGCCATCGCGAGGCCCCACGCCAGTCCCTGAGGGCCTGAGGGCGCACCGCCTCGCTCCCTGTCCCACGCCCAAGCTCCAGCCGCTGGGGCCCTCCGCTGGCCGCCACCGCGTTGCCAGGCAACGGGGTCTTGTGATCCGCTGGCCCCCCAGAACAGTGCGCCCCGCCTTAGGGCTTGCAGACCCCCGTGCGCGGGCGGGCTCGGCCTCTCTGCTCGTCCTTCCGCTGATTTTGTCAGTTTGCCTCGCACATTTCCAGTGCTGCCTGACCGCAGAGGCCCCACCCATACCCCACCCCTGCACCCGGTGTTTCATAGGGATGCCATGTGGTCTGCCGGTCTGCAGACCCATTTGTTGAGCTGGGTATGAGTCCTCTCTTCAACCCAGCGCCCAACGTGGACCTGGTGGGGCCCAGGCCCAGCAAATGCTTCTCCACGTCCCCCTTGGAGTGATGGGGAAGCAGACTTCCTCTGTGAAAAAGAGGGCTCAGGACGCCCCCACTTTGGGGAGTGAGCTTGGAAGAGCAGAGGCTGGTGGGAAGGAGGGGGCAGGCTACAGAGGCAGCCTAGAGAAACAAATCCAGGGAGGCTCCTGTGTGTAAGAGGGAACTTTATATCAAGGAGCAATTGTGTAGTAAGAAAACATCCCAGCCCAGTCCAGATCAAATCCAGCAGTCCAATATTAGCCCATATGTCCAATACCATTCTGTCAATCCCTCTTCAGACTCACATAACCCATGCAATGACACCAATTTCAGGAAGGTCACAGGCCAGTGGGTAGAAAGTCTAGTGGACCCAGTGGCAGTGGAAGCATCTCAGTGTTAGAGTGGGTCTTCATGTGACTCCTCCAGCTCCAGGGCTCTGGCTCCATCAGTTTCTCTCCATATGTCTTCTCCACAGGGATGTCTCACAGGGAGTGAGCAGAGAGAGAGTGTGTGACTCTTGCCTCCAGAGAGGAAAACAGGAGTTCCCAGAAACCTCAGAAGAAGGCCATGCCCACACAGAGGCCTCATTGGCTTTGACCTGATAGACAGGCTAGACTCCACCCCTTCCTCAAGTTGACAGGAGATTATGTAACTGCTACAGAGTCTCATCCATCCTGCAGATGCCCTTTCTAAGTGGCCTCAGTCAGCCCCATCGTTGAGACCTTGCAGCGTTTGCACTGCGGTAACTCAGTAAGCAAACAGACTGCCACATGCCCGTCATTCTCCCCTGATGCCATTGGTGGGTTTGAGGGGAAACCTTTGGGTTAGCAGCAGTGCCCTTAACCACTGTGTCATCCGGGCTCCTTGCAGGGGGTCTGCAGAGGGCCTCACCCCACTCGGTGGTGACAAGACTCAAGTCAGAGAGAGGAGAGGCTTGCCTGGGGTCCTGCATCCAGTCAGTCCTGGAGGTGGACCAGGAGGACAGGGAGGCTCCTTCCAACTGCTCCCCCCGCCCCCGCTGACCCCCAGAAATACCCTGCTGACACCTCAAGCCAGCATTTCAATTGAGAGGGCAGACCCCAACACCATGGGAGCTGTACTCCTGGGCTCTAGATCTGGCACACAAATGACAAAGAGGCAACACTGCACCGCTAATCTAGTGGTCAGAGGTGACAGGCCTCAGGGACTCACACAGAAAGGAATACCAGGCTATCCAAGCTGAGGCGCTGCCCTTTCTCCAAGTCTGTGGAGCTCAGGGTTCCAGTTCTGCAGTTTACTGTGAGGATTAAGTGAGATCACTTAGGTCAGGTGCGGGGGGCAAACAGTAAGTGCTCATTAAGAAGCCATTCCTGACCCTTGGAGAGCGATCTTGTAGAACACAGGAGAGTAGAGCTTAAGTCTAATTTGCCCGTGTGTGTGTGTGTGTGTGTGTGTGTGTGTGTCCCTAGGGCAGCGGTTCTCAACCTGTAGGTCACAACCTCTTTAGGGGTTGAAGGACCCTTTCACAGGGGTCACCCGATTCATAACAGTAGCAAAATTACAGTTATGAAATAGCAACGGAAATAATTTTATGGTTGGGTGCTCACTAGAACACAAGGAACTGTATTAAAGGGTTGAGGCATTAGGAAGGGTGAGGACCACTGCCCTAGGGTCTAGTACTCAATAAATACTCATTGAATTGGTTGAAAGACTCAAAAAACTCAAGCTCTCTGCCGTGGAGCCGATACTAATTCATATAGCGACCCTACAGGGCAGAATCGAAGTGCCCCTGTGAGTTTCTGAGACTGTCACCGTTGAAGGGGGGTAGAAAATCCCATCTTTATCGCAAGGAGCCACTGGGGGTTTCCAACTACCCACTTTGAAGATCACAGCCCAACGCATAACCCCTACATCATCAGGGCTCCCTAGTTGAAGGACAGGGGAATACATGAATTAATGTAGTCCAGCGTACCAGTAATGCATAAAGTCTCAGAGGGACTCACGTTTGAATCCTGACTCAGTTGTTCCTCGCAGGTGGCCTTAGGCACATTACCTACCTTCTTCAGCCTTCAGTTTCCTCATCCGTGACAGGCACTGTGGCTTCCTGGAGGAGCTGTTTTAAGGGGTTGGGGAGGCGTGGGTGTGTGCACTTTGAACTCCTATGTCCTGGGGAGGGAGGCCCTGAAAACAGCTCCGGGTCTGTACAGGCAGCCCACACCTGCCTGGGGCTACTTTGCTTCTTTCCTCCACCTGAGCCCTTTGGCTCCAGGGCTGTTGGAGGAGTGACCAGGGGGTGTAGGCCAAGGTGCTCAGGGCTGTGTGTCATGACTGTCAGACCGGCCAGAGCAGGACAGAGTGAGTCAGCTCGGCAGCAAGGCAGGCTGTCCTCCCCCAAACCTCCCTCTCACAGCAACTTCCTTCTCTCCTGGAGGGATGTGGGCGACCCCTGGATTTAACAGGCACTTCTACCCTGCCCTGTAGCATCACTGTGAGCCGGCATTGACTTGAGGGCAGTGCATTTGGTAGTTTGGGTTTTGTGCGGCCCTATTCACTGTGCGGCCCTAAACTTCATACTGGGGCCAGGATAAGCAGCCTTCCCTGTCTGAGCCTTAGTGTTCTCTTCTGTAGAGTGGACAGGGTGGAACTGCCCCTGTGCGTTACAGAGAAGACTGTAACTCTGTTTGGGTAGTAGAAAGCCCATCTAACTCCTCTGGAGCCTCGAACTGCTCACCTTGTGGATTGTAACCGATATGGTACCATGAATACAAGACTTGGAATTAAGTTTGAGAGCTCTGTGGTGGCAAGCGTGCCCGCCCCATCCAGACTCTGAAACCACCTGTTCCATCCAGGGAGCCAGGATTCCGGCCTCGCCCCTGCCCTCATCTCCTGCCACCTGGTCCTCATGCTCGGTCACCTCCAGACCCACAGGGCTGCTCGGTCCCCTTTTCAGATGCCTTTCCCTCTGCTGGAATGCCCTCCACTAGCCCGCCCACTCAACTCCTCATCTGAGAGATGATCAAAAGCCAGCCCTTCTGGGAATCCATCCCGACCCCCCCAAGTACGGAAACACTCCAGCTTCACCTCATCATTACCAGCACGTATCCTGAGGATTTTTCATTGGAAAATTATTAAATGTTTTCAAATGGACAGGTGTCCATTTGGGTGGGGGAGGGGATACCAGAGGATTGCGTGAATTTACATTTTCACTACTAAAGTCAAATATTTTCCCAAGCTGCTAATTGGTTATATTTCCTCTTTCGAACTTGACAGTCTGTTTCCCCGAAAAGATGAAGCAGCCGGCAGGCATCTCTGGAGCCCCAGCCCCAGGAGGAATGGAGAGCAGAAGGGATTGGGAAGCGGAGACCTGCTGCATATCCCACATCTTAAAGGACCAAGCAGTCCCGCAGCAGGAAGGGCGGGCCAGCCTCCTCAGGGAGGAGAGCCGCAAACGTCAAAAAAGGAGGACCGAGGGGGTAGTGTCCGGGTGGGATGGAGCCCAAGGGAAAGGAGGTGAGCCACCCCACCCCCATATTTATCAAGGTCACGCCTATTATCTCCCGGGGCTCTGAGGGAGAATCGCAGTGGAGGGAGGCAGCGGGTCCCATTCAGGGGAAAGGAAGGCCAGACCCCAGCGGCAGCAATGCTGCAGGGCCAGCCCTGGCTCTCCCAGTCAGCACCCTGCGCAGTGGGGTGGCGTCCACCGAAGGAGGAACTGGCTGCGGGTTCGCGGCCTGGCTCGGCACGCCCCAGTTCTGACCGAGCGACCGACGCGGTCAGCACCTTTCTCTTCTGGGAACCGCAGCTTCCTTGTTTGCTGGGCAGGGAGAGTGAAAACACGCCTTTCACGCTGCGCCCGGCTTCGCGCCCGTCTGGCAACGCACCTGTTTTTCTGGAGTACCTGGTTGCGCGACGCAGGCGTCTAAGGGCCTCGGAGTAGCGAAAGCGGAAACACCCATAGGGCGCTTGGACCCACCCGCCCTCGGGAGGGGTCCCGGAGCAGGAGGACGCCCCGGCCTAGGCCCTCGAGCTCCAGCTGGGCTCCCGGGGGCCCCCACCCACTGCCCTCCCGCGGCCTCCGGGGCGGCATGGCGGAACCCGAGCCTGCGGCCGCCGACCTGGACGCCCTGGTCGATGACCTGGACTACCTCCCGGGCCACTTCCACCTGGCCCTGCAGCTGAATTTCGAGCCCCGCTCGCCGGCCCCGCTCCGCGCCCGGGACTTGAAGCTGCAGCGGGAGGGCGTGCGCCAGGAGCTGGAGCTGGCGAGCGCCCCGCAGCGCCCGGCCGTGCTCCACCTCCTGGGCGCCTTCGCCTTCTACCTGGAGGAGGTGGACGAGGCCCGCGAGCGCTTCCTCCAGGTGGCCCGCGACGACCCGGGCAACCTCAACGCCTGGGCCAATTTGGCGCACGTCTACGGGCGGCTGGGGCAAGAGCGAGAGGAGGAGGAGTGTGCCGGCCAGCTGGCCGCTCTCATGGGCCTGCAGGCCGACCCGGAGACGCCCGGGGACCCCGAGCTCCGCGCGGCGCGCTGCCTGGCCGAGCAGGGCTACGCGCACGGCTTCGACGTGGGCTGCGCCAAGCCGGAGGAGCGCGCGCAGGGACTGGCCGCGGGCATCGCCCTCTACGACAAGGCGCTGAGCTATGCGCGGCAGGTGGGTGACTGACTCCGGCTGGGGG